TATATGAGCGGAGTGATGGAAACGTAGCAAATAAGTATTTAGTAAATAACATATGCTAAAATAATATATATATGTATGTGTTTGCATTTAATATAGATTCTCAACACATTTATTAATTGTTTAATGACTAAACATTTGGTTACTCATATTATCATATCAGATTATCAAAGATTTTTCATGTACAAATATACATATTTCTTAAATAATTTTATCAAATACCGATTCCATTTTTTTTTTTTTTTCTCAAGTAAGTCCATTGACTTAGCTCAGTCCAGCTCAGTTCTCAACTTTAACTTTAGGGTATCCACCAGTCCGACCCTTCGAGCAAGAGCACTTGCACTTTGTTAAACAGCTACTAAATGTAGACATCCGACAGCCATCTGTGATTGTTGCTGTCAGCTTTTGTTGCTTATTATTTATCATCCGTTTTAACTCCTGATTCCCATGCCTCCTGCCACGGATCATGCCCTTTACGCCCTCCACCCTGCCCCGCCCTGCCCTTTGCCCGCTGCAATGAATCAACGGAGCTGCTGCGCGCGTGTGTGTTGTCTGCCTACAATAGGCACAGCATGATTTATTATATGCCTGCTACTATTGGAGGGCGTGGCACCGCCCACAGGCAACAGCAGACTAATGGCCGCAAAAAACATGCAATCGATTGTTAACAACTAATAAAACAAATCAGTGAAAAATGTGCGTTGCCCCCCATAAATGCGAGACTCGCTACAAATATCGTACATACGAGTGGATTTACAAGTTAATTGGGAAATATTTGAAGAGCCAGTATTGGAGAATTCGCAGTGATGTGGGCAGCACTTAAATGCTAAATGAAAATGAAATTGATTTAAATATTATTACAGTTTCACAGTAGATATAATAATAGATGAATAAATTTTTACTTTATAATTTATATACATACATATACTACCACTAGGTAGTAGTCGTACTGTCGTTTTATTTTTATGTGAGAAACTGCCGTATTTTTAGGATTTTCTTAATGACTAATGAATCCACATATCGAAGCTGGAGACCAGGGCTGCTATTATCGATAGCACACAGGGCTACAGAGCCTATATTAAGATTCGAAATGGCTTAGCTCACAACAGCGGGTATTTTGAAAACAATTCGAAATAAATTTTATATATGTACAATATAAATGTATATGCAAATATATGAATATCTTTAAAATTCCATTAAATTCAACTGCCTGACCATACAAAAAAACAAAAAAATGCTGCAGCAGCAGTTTTGGGCATTTAACGATTTGCGACCAATTAAAGCCGCATAATTTCTGGCCGCCTTTGCGCCTGGTTGGACCGTAGACGTGTCTGCATTTTTGCGCCCTCTGGCCCAGCCCCAGACCGCCAGCCACTCAGTCGCCCCCGAACACAAGGGGCGCAGGCTGTCCCCGGCAATGTTGGTGTTGGCTAGAAATTGCAATGTCATTGTTGCGAGTCAGCGCGCGGCGGCAGGACACAAAAACCATGTGGCTAGTAATTCATTACCCCGACCGCGACAGACACCCACACACACCATAACATACACACACACACACACATTTATACGACAATTCACATGGCCGCCGACGCCATTTAATGTGCAAACAAAAGGCGCTGGCACCACAAAATACTACAGAAAAGAATAAAAGAGGAAATAAAACACAAAGAAATAAAAGCCAAAAACAGAAAGAAGAGCTTGTCAAATGTTATGAAGTATTTGTAAAGTGCAGACAATGGCAAAAAATGCAAGGGAGCACAGAGAGAAAAGGGACAGAGAGTGAGCGAGAGAGAGAGAGAGAGAGAGAAGGGCAATTGCCCCGCTCTGCGCCATACTAAAAGTTAAAATAACGAGCGATAATTAATGGAATGACAACATAAAGCAGGCAACAATTTCAACAGTTTCCATTGCTGAGGCGTTAGGAACTGCAGCCGAGCCAACCGATTCCTACTCCTACTCCTACTACCACTCCTCCACTTGCGGCCCCTTTCCCTGTGCTCGCTCTATAGAAGCTGTGAATCGTTATCGAGGCGGGCGCGCGAAATAAAAATTGAAGCGGAAACAGCGCCAATGCCATGTGAACGGAAGGCATGTGAATGTGAATGTGAATGTGAATGAGAAAGTGCGGAGAGTGGTGGGTGGACTGTAGAGTGTCGACTGTGAAGTGCGGAGTGTGAATGGTGCTTCGAGCAACCGGAAATGCATTGTTTCACGCGCAATTTCATTCTAGTATTTATTATGAGCAGAAGTGTCCGCAGAGCCTCCATCTCGCATACGATTTGAAGGCACGGCCGGACAGCAAGGCATTTAATTAATGCAAAAGTAATCAAAAATAATTAATTAGAAGTGCGCCAAGTGAATTCCAAGTGTCTGCGAACAGTGTGAGCAATGCATGTGGATTAAGCTACATATATTCTCCTTTTCATTTATCAATCTCTTCTTATGTGTGAATGCATTAATTACTAATCAGTGAAAAACAAATAAAATTGGTGAATTAATACTAATTAATAATAAATTTAAAACTTTTTGAAATACTAGATTTTTCACTTAATTTAATGCAACTTTGATTTATATTACATTTGATGCTCCAGCTAGAAATTTCACAAATCAGCCAAGATGAAGTAGAATTAAAAATGTACAATTTCTAAAAAGTTTCTGGATGAGGGGACAAGGTACTAGGCGAGGGGACTCAGATGCGAACCCTGGCAACGAAACATTTTTATTTATTTGTTAAAGTGTGTGGCTTTGCATTTGTATATTTGGCTGGAGCCACTGTTTAGAGAATCTCGGAGTTAAGCACTCCCCAGCTGTGAGTGCTCCTACTTGCCTTGAATATGGTTTTTCAAGAGAGGCAGATAAACTAAGGCACCATAAACTAATCTATGCACACATTTCATTTCGATGCACCTTTTCTTCACATGCCATGTATGCCGTGTAGTTCTCAAAGGTTTGTAAATTGACTCGGCTTAATAAGCACTGAATAATTAAGTTCCGAATTTTATTTAAGGGACAAGACCTGATTAAATTAGCCTTTCTGTATTGTCATGATGCCTTTCTGATGAGCTAGGACGAATATACATTCAATGCAATCTTCAATATGTGCCCAGGCTCCCTGGATGTTACTAAAAGCAAGGCGATGCATCCAATAGCAGAGTAGAAAGCTTTGTAAAGGAAGTCGTCTCAGTCGATCGCCAAATTAAGATCAGGGTTCGCGTTTTTTTTTTTTTTTTTTTTTTTTTTTTTGTTGTTGCAGTGCAACTAAAGGCAATCAACTATAATACAATACAATAAATCTCTGAGAAGATCTCGGTTATTGGCGAACCTAACTGGAAAAGTTCCAGGCTAAGCCAAAATGAGACAAAATATGGACTGATACAACAAAATAAACATATTTTATTTAATCATAATCATAATATTTCTTACTTTTAAGAGCCTTAAGAAATTCGATGTTCACATCTTGAAATATTTGCAAGCTGCGATTCTTGTGCTCGCCAATTATGCAAATGTTTTTGATATAACCCGACTTTAAGCGGCTTGTATTTTGCTGATCTGCCTGGCTGCCATTGCATTTATTAGCTGAGCATCATTAGGCCAAAACAGCAGCAACTGCAACAAATGCAACAACATCAGCTGTGACAACAACAACAACAACAACAACGACTACGACGACATTTGCCAGCAATCTCGCTTGCGCAACTTTGCAGACATCTTTTCCTTGGCCGCACAACATTTTCAATTTGCCAGCAAACAGGATGAGTGGAGCGGGGAGGGGCGTGGAGGGCGAGTCATGTGGCCTGGCACCAGGTGGTTACGGTCACAGCGGCACCGTGTACGAGCAGTGCGCTGCAGGCGCAGCAACTAGGTGGAGTGCCCTGTTTTGGGTTGGGGTGGTTGGGTGGCTCGGGTGTTGGGTAGGCGTGGCTGGTGCAAAAGCAACGCCGCGAGCTTTGAAACCAAAACAGGCTACGACCTGACGATGTTGACGATGTGGTTGCACTTATTCCCCATGTTTGGCCCAACTTGTTGCTGTTTTTGTTGTTGCTGCTTTTGCCGCTGATGAGGAAATTGTTTTGAAAATTACAAAATGCTGTAGAGCAGCAGCCAGCTTCAACCAGCATACATACAAAGTGCCAATATACACATATACATATATGTATGTACTATATGTTTATCGTGACAAAGTTGCCAAATGTTATGCGGGAAATTCGAGTAGTTCGCATTACCATGTGTCCATAAATATATTATGGTGCTATATTTAGAATATTTCCTGGTGCAAAATAGCTTAATGGAGTTTAAAATTATGTTCCCCATCCCTTCTACAGACGTCGACCTTGTTTTTAAATTATTCGTAACTGTTCGATTACAAATATTCATTCGAACTTTCGTCTTGTAAAGGAAATGCAACTTATTCGAAGTGAGCTGTTTTTCTATACCCTGAACCCATTGAGGCGCGTGAGGGTGGATGCATATGTATGTGTGTGCGTGCATAAAAGAAGTGCAGAATGATAAAAATATCAGCTTGGAGGGTTCAGGGGTCGAGCAGTCTCGACTACTTGTTTTTTTTTTTAGAAAACCAGCAGCCCGAGTATCTGCGTGTTAGTCATTTCCAAATTAAAGCAACACAACAAATGGGAATGTTGGGTAATTCTACAGGAAGCTACAGGAAGTTTCGCGAAATAGTTTTTATACTGCAACAGCAAAATACATCGCACAAATCTACTAAAATATACTGCATCACCTCGTGATTGATAAGCGGATTTAGAAACATCACAGAAAGCATTCTATGCTGCTTTACCAGACAGGCCTAGCTTCGGATAACAAAAGCATTTCGCTCAAAAACTAGAAAACACTCGTTAATTTTAAAGACTTTTTATAAATTATAAAAAAAAACACACACACACACACATACAGTTATATATCACAAAAGTGCAGTGAAATCCTCATATCTTTAAGATAATCTTGCATTCTGACTAAATCGATTCAAATGACCGAAGACTTGATTCTTAGACCATTTTGAAGCTGCTAGAACCGTGCTGAACGCTCAGTGCCTTCCAGCTGTATATGCCATTTTCTTGGATCACACGCAAATAATCCAAGAAATCATCGTAGCTGAAGTCCTTCACAGGATCATCGGGATTAGCCCTGTGATAGCTGCACAGATTATCAGAGATGAAAGGCCGGAGCACGGGCAGCTCGATCTTAAATATTTCGCAAAGGCGTTCCTTGGAGCCATCGTCGGCAAACATCGTGAGGCGGGCCGACCTGTTGAATAAGCAGAGATTACTAAATGTTGAAAACTCACATGCCTCTGTCCACTTACAAGGCCTTATACATAAGATCAGGGAAATCTTGCAGCTGGATGATGTACTCGACAGGCCCCTCAGCTCCGCCCGTCTGCAGTTGCATGATATACTCGAAAGGCAGCAACATCAGGTGCACCACCTGCATGAGGGCGATGGCATACTCTGCCCGTGCCTCCCAGTCGTGCATGAGCCAGCGCACGGCCGCATAGAACATCTCCTTCTCGCTATTAACGGCCACATTCTCGGAGCTGATCAGGTAGTGAATATGCTCGAAGGGCAGCTCAAGAAACTCCACGCTGGCGACCAGCGTGAGGAAAAAGCGTTGGATACGATGCAGCATGGAGATATCAAGGCCCGTTATGGGCAGCAAATGGCACAGCCGCAGCGACTCGTAGGACACTGCAAAGGCCTGATCCTCGCTAAACTCGTCGACCAGGTTTAGACTGAACCACACCTGCTTGATCAGCGAGTCCACCTCCAAGTACAAAGCTGTCGCCAGCACCTCCATAATGGAGCCGCGCTCCAGCTTCGCAACTGGCTGGATCATCCAGTGACAAGTGCGCACCAGGCCCTCCTCCGGCACCCGATCCTCGGGCAGCACCAATTCGCGCTGCCCCCCCTTCACACTTCGCATGGCGAGCTTCGAGTAGCACATGAAGCGCAGCCGATTCATACTGATCTGCCTGGTGCCGAGCCTCAGCACCAGATCGTTGGGATCGTTCAGTTCCCAGTTCTTCAGCACCATCGGAAGCAGCGGGTACTTCTTCCCCAGGCGAAACTCCACTTCGGGTATGTCCCAGATTGGCAGCTGATTGCCGCCGCGAAAATTATTCAGCGACAGTTTCGGCAGGGTCGGCTCCAGGGGCAACTTTTCCACGCTTTTCAGTAGCTCAGACATTTTGCTTAGAAACTAAAAATTTGGGAAAATATATTTCATTGAGACAAGCTACGCAGAAGGTGTTTGACTGATAATATATATCAAATATATGTACTATAAATTATTTAAGTTATAGCTGTCAACAAGCTAAAAAATGAAGCAATGCTTAACCTTAAGCCTTTATAAAAACTCAAGTAAAATGCAACTTCGAAAGAGATGAGCTAAATATTTGTCATCGTCATACAAAAGTTTCAGATATCGCGTAATTCATTTCATTGTATTATATTATACTATATTATATTACATTTTACAATATTGTGTAATACAGTATTCAATTATATTATTTGTATTCCATAGACTATGCTTAACTCCTAGAAAATGTCTAAGAATCGTCACATTATATAAACTTGAAATCCTGTGTAATTTGGGTACCCTATTATATCACATCGAATCATTCCCTTGGGTCAAACCCAGTTAAGTAAAAAGCTTATGTGTAGCTCCCGAGGACTAAGCGCCTGAGCAATGCGGACCTTACCCGCCACAGCAAAATCAATACCAAAAGTCTAGACTTGTTCATAAGTAGAATACGTATATAGCATAAATAATTGGTGCGGCTATATGTCAACATTTCAAGGAGCTCTCGAGCTCCTTGTCGGTCTCCAGCATTTTGGCCAATTAGACGCACAATGGGCCCCAAATTATGCAACATGGCGCGACAAATTCAATTTGCTATGCCCCAAACACGTGCCCAACAACAACCACAACAGGCACAAAGTCAGCTACATCTACACACACACATACGCACATACAAACACATTTTAACACAAACAAACGCGGCAGTCGAGCGACACGTCGAAAGTTGTTTCAAAAATCCCTGGAGAAATTAGTTTGATTTATGTTGAGTTTCCGGTGCAAATAAATTGCCAAGTTTACAGGTTTCGGGATTCGGGACTCGGACTCGGACACGGACACGGAGCGCAATGCGAACGCATAATTGATAATGCGAGCGGCGTAGCAAGCGGGTTCCTGTGGCATGAGAAGGTCAACAGAGAGGAAGGAGCCTACGGGTGAGACAGATGTGTGGACTAACTCTGCATTCAATTGACACCTTTTGTTGTGATAAAAGGTTGTTAGAGTTACATTGAATCTGAATGTGGGAGCTTTAAGAGTGTGTAAATTTGTATTTACACCCATATAAATAGCACTATAATCAAAATAAATATTAATATATGTTTTGGTATGTTAAACGACCTCGCCATAGACGAAAAAGAAATCATTAGGTTTACTTTCAGAACGTAAGGGATCTGAATTATATATTTGCCATGAAATTTCACCATATTAAGCAAACCTATCGAATTAATAACTTACCTCTACCTCTACTTCTACTTATACCTATTCTGCACTAAATATTGTTTCTATATCTACATGATCGACTACATTTCAAACGCTTTAAAACTATTTAAAAAAGCAATTCACACATAAGCTCTAACCCAAACTGTATCTGTCAAATGCGGTTAACTGTCGGTTAAAAATCAAAATCGCTTGACACACAGCAAATGGAAAACCTCAAAATCAATTAATTTTATTGGCTGGTCCTTTTACTTTTATTTTTATTCGTTTCGTGCTTTTCTCTTTACCGAAATATCGTTGTGGTAGAAAACTATTTGGGCCACGTTACACATGGTATGTGTACACACACTTTAAAAGCAACCAACTTCCGAATTCGTATTTTGCTTGCAACCTAAACCATTTCATTATTTTTCCTTTTTTCTGGGAAGGAGAAAAAGAGATAACGAATTTCGTTATTTTATCATATTTATTTATAAATTTGTAAGCTGGCAATAATCGCTAAGAGTAACTCAATAAATTCTTTCTACAGTAAAAGTAGTAACTTGAAATTGATAAATATATTTTTTATATTTGTTTTATTGCACATTTGGTTCGCTTGGAGATCCTATCGCTGACCGTGTCAGCGGCTTGGCCAAGCTCTCGCCATTTCCTATCCAATTAAGCAGATGTCGTAGAAGCCTGTCAACGGCGTGCAAAGGTGAAAAGTTGCACTTGATATCAAATGTGCCAAACCATGGTGAAATCGCGTGACTGTCAAACAGTGAAATTTTCAAGCTGTGAGCGGTGTGCAAAACTTTTCCACTAGAAAATGGATAAAATTGTAACCGAAAACAGGCTGTATGAAAAAAATCTAATTTCTGACAATATAAAAAATAAAAAAAATAAATAAAAAAATTTAAACAAAATTTAAAAAAATAAACCATTTCCGCATATCTTTATTTTGCAGAGTAATATCACTAATGAAGCAAAGGCTCATCGCTGTAGGCAAACTACCTCAAATGGTTAGAGTATGTAGGGTTTGACTTTTCACGCTGGATTCTTTTTAGTTTTGTTGTCTCTTTGGCTCACGCCCAATTTAATAGTTTTTCGATTTGTTGAAAGCAAACGCCAAAGCATAGAAAATAAATTGTCACAAAATGCTGGCCAACTTGAACGGCAGCAACCGCAAAGGCTGGCAAAAGTTTGCTTCAAGATTCTTACAGCGAGCACTCTTACTCAACTCCTTGGCCTTATCTTTATCAGTTGAAGAAAAGCGCAGCAGCCATTTCGATTCGTTCTCGTTTTCCTTGTCATTGTTGTTGCTGTTGTTGTAGCTGTTGTCGTCACATATCGAGTGCCAGGAGCCGGGCCGAAAGTTCGACGACTCTGCGACTCGCTCCGGGCAACCACCACAAATACTTCCGACCGCGCCAGCAGACCGCCTACAGACACTGTTCGATGCGAACTTGTAAATAACTAGGCAATGGAGTGAATCGAAATATTTTCAATTGAATTCATTTGATTGCAAATGCCACTGCCATCGCTGCTCTGAGAAGATAATTATCAACGCTAGCGCATACAGTGATGTCCGAGTGCAGCAGCAACGACTGATCGATACTCTGCAGACAGCAGCTAGTTGCTATGACACGCGAACTTTTTTCACAACCCAATTTGAATGTCTGTAAAATGTTTATACATATGTATAAAAATGTATACATATATGTATGTACATAACATATATGACAAAAAATATAAATAATATAAAAGTGCTTTAATCAATAATTATCAATTAGGCAGAAAAACAGAACACAAATAAAACTAAAAATAAAATGATATCCACTCATTAAACCACTTGCAACCCTTGCTTGCTCGTAACAGGGCACAAGGCACCCATCTTAAAGTGGATGGGCCTCATAAACGCCCAAAAAGTGCCTTTTAAGAGCACAGTTGGCTTGTCGGCGGCATCATCATCGTTCTGTAACTAGTTGTAAATATGCTCAACATGCACTCAATGAATGAAATGTGTGCACAATGTTGAAAATAGTTGTGACACCCCTCAGCACTGACGCCCCCCAGAAAAAAAGGGCCACAAAGGGTTGCTCATCTCTGTTGTTGTTGCTTTTGGTCTTGATATTGTGTTGCTGTTGTTGGTGTTGTCGGTGTGCATACGCCTGGCATGGCCTGAGCCTGAGCAGGCAGCTTGTACAGCAACTTCCGCTTATATGGACACCACTTTAGCATGATAAATTGACGTTGCCGGTTTTTAAAAATACAAAAGAAAATGAAAGACAAGAAAAGACTCTTTAATAGCAGCGCTGTCTATTCTATACAATATTTCATATCCAGAATATCCTAAGGGACCTATACAATGTATATGAAATTCAAAATTATTTACACTACAAGTTATGAGACTCTATCATCCTCTTTAAATCTATATTTCATCAAGCAATAAAAACAACTCACGTGACGGTATCGCTCCTACTCATACCCTACACAATAACTGTTTAGGGTATGCAAATCTCACACAAAAATGATGAGTAGACAAATGTTCTTGTGTTGTGTGGCCGTGGTCGATACGGGATGCTTGTGAGTGTTTATGGTCATGCATAATTGACTTACATTGCAATGCAATGTTTAAATTTAAGCGCGCGAGTTTCATATTGTTTAGCTTTGGCATTCGCTCGTAGAAAAAACCAAATTAACAGTATTTTCGCCCATTGTGTCGGCTCACTTATTGCAGTATATTTTTCAATACATTCAGGTTGTCAGCTTAAATCGTGACATAGCAATGAACTTTGATATGACATTAAAAAACGAGCATTATTCAGTATATTTTTGACGATGAAACGACTCAGTAGGTCTATGCTGTTTATTAATTTTTACTTTTTGGCTTTTTAATTCTACAGTAGCGCAGCCACACTGTAACAAAGCAAATACAAAAATGCATACAAATGTAATCTTGCCAATATTATTGCTCTTGGGTAAGGATTTCACAAACAAATTAATTGCTGTTGACACTAACCATCGTTACTGCCTTAATAGGGCTATATGCAGCACAAGCTCAAGGAGAGCTGTCCGGTTTGTTGGGCGCTTTGAAATATCTGGGTCTCAATATCCATTCGAATGGATCAGGATCCGTTCCCGTAGGGAATGCCTCCATTGGGCAGTGTCATTACAGCTTTCAGTCGTACGCATTGATGCAGGAGCGACACATTTGCGTGCCGGACGATGAGTATATAATACATCTAGCGGAGCAGCCGCAACCACGAAAACCTCCAATTTTGATAAAGTGCCTGCAGCCAGATCCATTGCCGGAAACGGGCAATTTGAGCGCACCTATGCCTAAGCTGCTAATCATGCAGAGTGCCAAAGAGATTGTCAATCTACTGAAGCCAATTGGTAATGCAACCAAGCGTCACGAGCCGGGCAGCTGTGTTCTAGTGCACTTTTGCACAAACACTAGCCTCGAGTGCGCTCGCGTGGCGACTCTGGTCAATCTGCTGCCACACTTGTTACCCACACTGCCAGTGGCCTATATCGACGCGTATGAGTTTACGCGCTTCAATGCAGAGTTCGGCATCGTTGCACTGCCAACGCTGATGATATTCCATCAGGGAAGACCCCTCATCAAGTATGATCCGCCCAGTCACGACAAGGTGAGTGTGCGCGGCTTTATAAAGCGGCACACAAACATAAGGACCGTAGACCCTAAGAGCTTGCATCCCTTCATCCACACGATGATTCAGTGGGGACCACTGTCATCGGTTCCGACAAAGAAAACAGATTTCTATCTAATCCTGGCCTGGGCCTTCATACTGCTCTGCTTGGGCAACTATGTGCGACGCACACTCTTTTGGAAGCAGCTTGTGGAAATGGTTCAGCGCAATTGGCGCGAATCGGAGGAAACCCAGATGGAGATGATCGACTAAACTTGGTTACAAACTTTATGATTTAGAACTTGTATATATTTTCTTTACGCTTTAAATTTACTATGTATGTATGTATTTTCGTTTAATTAAATTCACATAAACATTAATTTATGTCTTAATAATATGGGTTTTTCTTTTTATATAGATAGGAGGCGGCTTCTTCTTCGTCGCTGCAAAATTGTTGATCTTAAACGCTATTAAGAAAAACTAAAGTATTGAGAATATTTAAAAACTTTTAAGCTTAGTGCTTTTACCTTTTAAACTAAAAATTTTATTAACATTATAAGTGTGCATTGGTAGATGCGTGTGCATGTGTATGTCTGTGTGTGTTTGAAAGTGTGGGGGGTGTGAACAGTTGCCTTGCGGCATGAGCTCGCTATCGATATTTATCGCAGATTCGCGCAGCTTTTGTGTCGCTACAAAGGTTTCGAAAAGTGTTATTGGATATACATATGTGGGGCGACCAAGCCATGAATCCTGTCTACAAAAATAAAAATAGCGTACGAAAGAGACGCGAATCTGCTGCTGCATATATATATAAATATATACGTATATACATTTATATATTTATATAGATATATATATACTAAAGTTGTATGTGTAAGGGGGGAAGCGTATGTTCGTGTGCCTAGATTAGTGTTGATCGATAACATGTACTATGGGTTGGCGCTTTGCAATTGGAGGTTTAATTTGGTTCTGTAATAATGTTTTTATGTGTGTGTGTGCAATAACTGTGTAGTTGTGTGTAGTGTGTAAATGTTTTAGCCCCTTATTCTATTATTGAGGTTTGTTCCGCTTTGCCGATTTGACGCGCGGCTCGGCTCTATCCTCCAATCCACGCGAGGCGCTTGACTGTTGATGATGCTTCAGACGCTGCTGGCGACGGGCAGCAGCCGGATTCGCAGCATAGGGATGTGGATGTATGCTGTACAGAGAGAAAGATAACATTAATAACTGTATTAATCGAGGGAGAGAAGAATGACGCAATTACGTAAATAAAATATATGATAACGTAAAAGTTTATATAGATTATCATTCCGTACAAAGGCCAATTCTAACGTAAATCTTAAAATGGTGAGAGCGAGGCGAGGCATGAGTGCGTTATTCATATGAGAAATGGAGATAGAGACAGAGAGAGAGCATAAGCTGAATGAGTTGGCGGGCACCGTTACGTAATGTGTGGAGAGATACGCAGTTGATGTGTTTGTGTGTTGTTGCAGTCTCTCCCACGTAAAACAACAGAACGTAGCAACAGCAACAGCAGCAGCAGCGCAGCAACAGCAACAGCGTTAGAATTTAGATAAGCGTCGTAGTTGTGTCACGTAGTACGTAGAGAATATATTATGTATAAACGAAGACCAATTAAGCGTTGTGTAGCGTGGCGTAACGTAACGATGAGTTTTTGTGGGTAGGAGATAAACGAAAACGTAATGGAATTTGTCAACAGGCAACGAAACAATAATGTGACCAAAACGCGTACCTTCAACTGGAAATACGCAAATAAGACAATTGTGACACAACATGCTGAGATTAAATATACGTCGCCTTATTTTTCTTACATTAACTTATAGATGTGTTTAGTAAAATTTAATGTACATAGCTGTAAAAAAAATTGCTGTTTTTATTTGTTTTGGGCGGCCTTACACGTAACATGTGGGGGCACGTAACGACGTGTGTGTGACGTTGCAGAGATGCGTAACGTAGATGATTCGTAGCGTCGCAGCGATGAAATTTCATGACGGAGCACAGCGGGCGATTTAGATAAATAGCGAGTTGGAGCGCCGTCGCCAAACGCAGTTACTGGTTAGTAGGTGGTTTTGATTACGTCGCAACGTTGCACGTAACGCGTCTCATTCAATTACGTTGTGGTGTATATGTTAAATATTTATATGTGTATAAGTTCATTATATTTTATGGATCATATATTATGCACATAGATATTTCTATTTTCTATAGAAACGTGAGTTATATAAACGCCAATCTCTGCATCAAAATCGAAATATGATGATTTATATACGTATATATACGTAAATGTATATACATATATTGGTAGAGAAGAGAAAGAAATAGAGCGAGTTGTTATTTCAAATATTAAAATGGATTATACAATTAGGTTTAATCTTTTCGTGGGAGGAAAATAAGCTTAAATTGCTGAACAGCCAAAAAGTGTAACGTAAAATTACCGTAATGTAGCGTATACATTACAAATGGTTAGGATAGAGGGATAGGAGTTAAGATTTTCAAACTATTTCATTGTATATCTTTCAGAGGGGACGGATAAAGCGCAGAACGCAGCGTTATGTAAGGTTGAATTCCTTTAGAAATAAAATATTTTACCAAATACATAGTATATGTATATCATATTTCAAATTTCAAAGAAAAGTTATTAGAAAAAATTTCAAATAAATTTAGCGTATTTATAAAACCAAACCAGGCATGAAGCCAAATCGTAACGTTACATATTTCTGTCACTTATAATGATTGCGATTCTCGACTATGTTATGAAAATAATGATCTGATTTTAATAATTATTTTTGTTTTTGGTTTAAGGGGAAACTGGACATTACGTATATCTCTCATTTAGTTGATTTGGTTTGCTGTTGTTGTAGTTTTGTTTTGCTTATGCGAACAAACCTTGGCGTGCCGGCAATGCTGTGACTAGCGCTCGATACGGTGGCCAGCGGCGACGACGAAGGCGTACGTAGTGGTCGACGGGGCGTGGCCAAGTGCTGACCATTGCGCATATAGGCGCGACGCGATGCTGACGTATTTCCAACGCCCAAATAATTGTTGTTAGTTGCATCATAAGTTAGGGGCGAAGAGGCTGATGTTGTTGCTGCAGCTGCTGCTGTTGCCGATGGAGCGTCGCGACGTGGCGAAGTTGTTGTTGTATCGGCGCTGTTGGTGTCGTCGTTGTTATCATCGGAGTATGGAATCAAGTCGAAGAAAATGTAAAAGAGATTACAACAAAACACATTTTGGCGTATGTCGATCGGGCACTAAAACTGTGTTACGGGGTATTTGTAGTAGTAGTAGTTTATGACGTAGCAATCCATTACGTAACGCGTTTTGGGTACTTTAAGTAACGTGAATGCAATACATGGAAAGAATATGGCTTATGATTTCAACTTAAACAAAAAATAGGTGAATCAAAAATACGTACAAAGTTGTTTTTCACATTTTCGGAAAATCATATAAATTAATATATTACAAATTACAAATTACTTTGCCGCCTACCTCAAATTACTCTCATTTTATCGTTATAGTATTCGAACGTAGTAGGAATGTAAAAGCAGTTTTTTTTTTTTTTGCATTATAGACAATTGCTTTGGGTTTCTCTGACTCTGACATACATGTATACACATATATATATATATATATATATATATATATATATAATATATTTGTGTATAAATATATATTATATAATTAGTAAAATATACTGTATGTACTTTGCTTGAATTAGTAATTATTATATCTGCAAGTAAATACAAACGTTTTAGTTTAGCGGGCATTGTGAAGAAGAAAGGCTACAATCGGAATAGTGTTACGATCTGTGTGTCTTGGATATATCTTGTGTAGCTAGTCTCAAACAAAATAAGAAACTGGTAACTATGTTAAGCAGCTGTTAATAAAATTCTATGTAGAAATTATAAAAATATTAATTATATTACTTGTATTTATATATATCAGATTTAATGATGATATCAGGCGTAAGTGGAAATCTCTTTACGATGTAAAAATTCTTTGATGGCATTATATAAAGATTAGCCACTGATGTTACTAACAGCTGTGTACTATGGAACCAGTTCAAACCTATCAAAATCCACACACGATATATCCAGTGGTAATAATTGCGTGTTAAAGGCCAAAGCTAGAGTGTCAAGTGGAACGAAAGTTTTGAAGATTCGAATTTAATGCAACTCACTAAATGCGCACGTTTACCTGCCAACTACTGACAGGAGAGACTAAAACTAGTTGCCCTCGACTCACCTGCTGTGCGGGGCCGTTGGGGGTGCGGGCAGAGCTGGCAATTGACGGCCGGTGCGTGACGGCTCCTGGATCACACAATCATCATCATCGTCGTCGTCGAGCGGCTCAATGGTAACCGTCGAGCCTCCAGCAGCTGGGCGAGCGCCGCGTATGGCATGCAAACCGCTGTGACCACTTCCATGAGGTAAAATGCCGCGTGTTGCGCGTGATGTGAACTCGCGGTCGAACTGTTCGGCCTCCTCTTCGTCTAAATTGATGAACTCCTGACGCTCTTCTAGCTGGCCAGAGCGCAAATCCTGCTCCTTCTCGATGATGTGTGCGCGATCGCCAATGTGATGACCAATGGCCATCTTTTTCAAGCCTGAACGTGAGTCCTGAACGGTCTTGCGTGTTTCGCGCACGCCACCAGGTCCAGTTTTGGTGCTGGTGCTAGCCTGATAAATCTGTGGACGTCCATCTGGACCCGAGGACATGGTCATCACTGTGCTTTGGCAAAACGAGGAGCCGCTATTACCGCCAATGTCTAGAGTAAAGAAAGGAAAATGAGTTAGGAAACAAATCTCAAAGAAGTTGTTCGTTAATACCCACCGGCATTTAGCAAACGGTTGAAATTGGGCATGGCTGGAAAGCCAAATAAACCGCCGCCCATTGGTGCCATTGCATTCTGATTACGCTCCATCAATGAGCCCTGTTGGAATCCCGCATCGAATGGAGAGGGACCCAGCATATTAAAAGGATCCGGCATGAAGGAGTTCATCAAACGATTCATCGAGCGCATTTGCATATTCATAGCGTTCATGTGGTGGTTCATAGGATTGCTGCAAAGAGATATATTCATTTTAATTCAGTTTATATAATAAAATTTTTAATTAAAAGCTGCGAAAAGAAATCACTAACTTTGTGTCCATTTCGGAAGTCTCAGGTTTTTTTTTACGGCTTGAATTTCGTTTGCGTTTCATAACTCAAATAAAGTTTTCCGAAAATATGAACAACTATATCGAATTCGGTGTTTTAATAAATTTAGAACTGAAGGCTAAGGAAATGAAAACACAACTTTAAGCAAACAAGTTGAACAAAGTGCCTCGTACAAAAAGAAAAGAAACAATCGCCTGCTTAGAAAAAATTCAGTTTGCAGAAAATCGCGTACACTTCATCTGTTGACGTTTACGACGTCTATGACGTTTATCTACAGCAGTTGTCAATGCATAAAGTTCCTTCACTGATATCTTAATTATAATAATATAACGTATATTTCACTCCACAGTATTACAATGTAGCAGTAATAGCAATAAAATAACATGAAATTAGTGTATAGGTCAATTACTGAACCAGACATTAATGCACGGGCATATATATATCATAAAGCTAAATTTTTCTATTCTTGCTTAGAAATAGTTAATTTCCTGTAAATAATATTGGTGAACTGATTTGCGTAGGCTGTAGGCAATTTATAAAACAGAGTTTCCAAAATTGAGGTCATGGTCAACCATTGTCCTGTATGTATATATATATATTGCATATATAAGTAAAATGAAGTGAATGTACCTTTAACAAGCACCAAGTTTCATTTAATTATATATATTTTAAACAAATACGTACCGTTGGCTTTTATTTATCTTCATGTTGCATAAAAATCAAATGTTCACCGAATTACACAATAATCAGAAAATAAAAGAAAATGACGTTATGCCCTATCCCAGAACTTGACACAATGGCATATAAAACTTAGTTTTTGTTGTTGAAGTCAGACTAAACTAATCTTATTTATATTGACAGCGGCCAACGTGCAATCGGAATTATCGATTAATTGCGGCCCTTCCATCTTGTCTTCATTCTTCCTCCTGCTGCTGCGACTGCTTATATGGTGGCATGCTGCGCACTCACACTCGCACACGTCCACACATACACAACAGCATTCGAAAAACTGCGCTGTGTGTTGTGTGAAATTGACACACACAAAAACATACATACATACGTCATCCAGCCAAACACCTAATCAGCGAATTTGCTTCAATTAAAATGCACACAGGCTAATAACTTCTACCGCATTGTTTAACTTGCTTTTCACATTCATATTCCCACATATTTAAATTCACTGTTTTTTTGCACAATTTCCATGCTAATTTTCCACGCCCCAATATCGACAACTAGACAGCTGAGCATCATAAATAAATCATGTTATTTGGAAACTTACTTCATGAATCCGAGATCATCATCGAAATCACCCATTAATGCACCAAATAGCGACATATTTTATGTTTTAATTCTTGTTTACAGTCCAACACTAATTGAATCACAAATTTTGTCACTTTTTTAAACTTGTTATAACTTCACGAGTTTTCTCGAACACAATGTGACCGCGTGGCAGTTGTCGTAGAAAATCAAAATTGTGTTACCACATACTCAAACAGCAAAAAAAAACCAACGAAATGCAGAGACTGCCAACCTATTTCAATTTTTTCAACGCTGGTCATATTTGAATTCGTCTAGTATAAATTAACAAATATTTTTAATGCTCTGTTTATTTAAATATAAAGGCCATTAAAGGTAGATATAAAATATTAATTTGTTCGCTTAACTTGTTCATTTTGTAGTTGTGTTATTACGAAAACAATTCGTTGTTTACAAGTATGGAGCAGCATGTTCCTCAATCCAAGCTGTGTGGTGTTTCACGCTAGTGTAAACTCCAGGAAATCCTTCGCGAGCACAGCCCACTCCCCAGGAAACAATACCCACCAAGACTCCATCGACAGTCAATGGGCCTCCAGAATCACCATTGCACGCATCTTTGCCTCCCTGCTCCACACCTGCGCACAACATTTCATCCGTTATTTTGTAATCCTTAGTGGAGTACTGAGAGCCACAGGTGTTTCTGTCCATAATCTCGACCTCTACCGCACGCAACATGGCTGGCAATGCTTCATCCGCTTCGGTGCGCTTGCCCCAGCCGCTGACTATGGCATGAGTGCCTGGGTTGGGTGAGTCTACAGCCAAAGGAATAGGCTGGACCAGATTGGAGTAAGCCAATGGTAGAGTGGTTATGATCATACCCACATCATTCACGTGCGTCTTCTTATTGTAGCCGCTGTGATAAATCAGCTTGCTGACTTTGACTCCCTGCTCATCCAGATCGGCTATCGAATTTTGTCCCGCCACGATCCGTATGTAGGAGGCGAAGCGTCCTTTAATGCAGTGGGCAGCAGTCAACACCACACGCGGTGCATAGATGCTGCCACCACAAATATGCAGCAACATATATGTCTCCAATCGGACCGATACCTGGTACGGATAGTTCACAATATCCGTTTCAGTCCCGCCCACAATGTGGGTGCTAATGGAGGCGCTTTGGGTCAAAGTTGCCAGAGAAAGCAGCCCCAAGAAAGCACCAACAAGTATTCCGAAACACGGCAACGACATTACGCAAAATCCAAAATTCGTATATTAATTAAAGTTTCGCACTCGGCTCTTATATACGAACGGCGTGTGCTTATCGCTGTTTAAACCGAAATCGCTCAAAATCCACGACACGCCACGGATTTCAATAAACGAATTCAGTAATATCATAAAGCTAAAGTTAACCAACTGTTTTATATCCATTATAAACATGGCGGTTTTTTAAAGCGAAATGCCAACCAATAATTAACCAATAGACCCCATAAGCTATTCGATAAGTCTTTTACGATACGTCAAAAAAAAAAAAAAAAAAAAAAAAAAAAAAAAAAAAGAGTTCACTAGCTTACTCTATTTGGCATAGGTCACAATAATCATCAAAGATTTATGATGAGTCATTTGTACTTGATGAACTTTGATGTGGCAACGAAAGAGATGTTAGCAGTATATATAGTCTTATTCTGAAACTCTTAACTTTATAGATTAAAATCAACGTCTCGCGATTGTCCAGTGCTGAGATTTATAGTCACCGAAGTGCAAAAGCAGCAAAGCAACAAATGCTCTTGATAACAGCTATTGAGAATGATTTTTATGTTTCCCATATAATTTTTATATGTATTTCGATATAAACAAATATTGAACTACTCTGTACTATATATGCTGTGATATATTCCTATATACTATACTACTAGATATTCGATACGGTTGTCGTTTCTTAAAAGGCTTATTTAAAAGATAACGCGAACGTATTTAAGTGTGATTGATGAATCATTCGAATTAGTAGACGTTAGCAATTTTCCCCTAGATGATCCAAGTACACGTTAAGTACATAATTGACAACCTTCGCGGAATTAACTCTATTATCTCAGAACACTGTTCAAAAATATACAAAGTTTATGGCGAAAAAAGAAAGTAAAATATATAATATTTTCAGCTATTCAATCCTTTATAAAAACTGTTTAATGTTGTATATTCAATTTATATAAAATAAATATATATTACATAATTGGATATTAAATAATTCGTTTGGTTTTAGTTTATTATCATGATTTATATATAATAATATAATATATTTAAAATAATATTAATAAATTATTATTATTTAATTATTATGTTTATTATTAAATTTTTAAAGTCACTACATGTCATTTTTTTTATTCAAAAATAATGGCAGCTGTTATTCATAACTTTTCGATTATTTGCTATCGATATGAACTGTTATAGCTTCAAGTGTGACCGTCAAGTTCCATACCAATCAGCTTTGCCAGAATTAGTAATGACCGTAGCACCATCATTATCCATCGAAATGGATAAGATAAGCGGGAAACTAACTAACCTTAACTTTACAAAATAGATTTATAGCACTTGTGAATTATCGGCTTATAAATTGGCTGATTAAGTAATTATACCACAGATAAGTGTCCTATAAAAGTACATAACACGAGAATCGTCACCTTAGTTTATTGAAAAGATGATTCGCATCTTGATCGGTTGCTTTATTGTGGGATTATCGGTAGCGGGGACCGTGTTCCAGAGCGGTGTGCCCATGCCCGATGGGCGTATTGTTGGTGGTTACGATGCGGACATAACCAGCTATCCACATCAGGTCTCCATGCGCTACAGGGGAAATCATAGATGCGGCGGCTCCATTATAGCGCCTAATATGATTCTCTCGGCCGCTCACTGTGTGAATACGTTGAAGGGGGTGGCTAATTTGACTATTATTGCTGGCACCACAGAAACCTTTTTTCCAACTGGTCAGGAGTTGCCGGTGAGGGAAATCATCATTCACGAGAAGTACAAGTCCTTGTACCAGGACTACGATGCTGCTATTCTGGTTCTGGATGGGGAATTCGAGTACAATAAAGCTGTGCAGCCAATCGAATTGGCCAGTGAGCGTCCGGCGCACGGAACACCTGTCATCGTAACTGGCTGGGGCGCAACTACCGAAGGAGGCGCCCTCTCCAACGTGCTCCAGCAAGTGGAAGTGAATGTTGTGGAGAATGCCAAGTGTAAGAGCGCATATTTCATTGCTCTGACCAATCGCATGCTCTGCGCCGCCGTCGACGGTGGCGGTAAAGATTCCTGCCAAGGTGACTCTGGCGGTCCGCTGATCTACAAGAATGAGCTGCTGGGCATTGTCTCGTGGGGCTCGGGCTGCGCACGCAAAGGATACCCAGGAGTTTATGCTGCCATACCCGATTTGCGCCAATGGATAATCAATACTCGTGCGTCCAAGGCATCCGTGGGCCGCATTGAATTTCTTTGAACGGTTAAATCTGATGTAATCTGCAAGTTAATAAGCACAATAAACTTTATCTTTTATTTTGGAGTTTAGTTTTCATAAGTAAGCTGTTCACGTTGATCAAGAAAACAAAAGATAAGATAAAAATATGTAATCGAATTTTTAAAAAACCGTTGCAACTATCGATTGTCTGCAAATAACCGGCATTTTATAGCAGTTAGCTTTTTGAAGTTGAAAAGTGTGTGAACTTATGTATGTTAATTGAGTAATTTAAAAATTATTATTTCATCGCTAACAGCTTAAAAAATGAAATTTGTAGTATTTTCAGAAGCTAAACAATCTATTCATTTTAGTTTTGTAAAGCCATGGGATATATGCATGATTTTGTCAGACTGTTCTGTCAGAAGGAAAAAATACGAGAACTTGATAAACATAAATATACAATTTGATGCACCGACTTAGATAGAGCAGTGAGTACCTAAACAATGGCATATTGTATTCAAGACGGAATTCTATGGTTCGTGCTTGAATTTAACAAACTGAACAAAGATTTGTACATTTAGCCTTATAATTCAGTAAGATTTACATACCTAAATATTGCTTTCAAAAATGGTTTTAAAGACTTTAGACTAAATCAAGTAGCAACTCATCAGTATCTTAGTTAAATATAAGCCGATGCATTCAATAATCCATGAATATTAGGTTTTATGATCACTGAGCTCTGATTTAGCAGAGCCAGGACTAGAAGAGCAAATGCTCTTCTTCGTCTTCGAATATCCATGCATACCCAGAATAGGTTATAAAGCACTCAAAAGAAAATGTTGTAATCTTGTGCTCAGCACGTCGCTAATTAATTTACTATGTAATAAACTAATTATACCCTGAACGCATTGAAAATGGGAAATCAGGGTATAATGGTTTTGTGAAAAGTATGTAAGAGGCAGAGGAAATCATCGCAGATCCCATAAAGTGTATATATTCTTGATCAGCACGACGAGTTGAGTCGATATAGCCCTGTCCGTCTGTC